GAAGGCAAAAAAAACTTTAGATATTTACTAACTCAAGTTGTTGGAGCCAATTAAGGTCTGCACACTATACTAGGATATATGGAAAATTTCAGTACTGTTTCATTTCCATGTGACATGTGTATGATACCAAAAGTTGACACCCAGCATGTTTTTAAAGAAGACAAACAAGCTCTAAGAACAGATATTTTATACAACTCTCAAGTTCAGCAGATGCAACGTGGGGAAATTTTTGATAAGAATTATGGAATTAAACAATTTAGTTGTTTAACTGAATTGCCTTATTGTTATCCTGTTTCAAATGATTCTGCAGACATAATGCATGACATTTTTGAAGGAGTTATTCCATGTGAAGTTAAATTGTTTCTTTATTATGTGTTATATGATGTCAAATGTCCATTACAGAATTTAACAGGCGCATCAAATTTATGGATTCGGTATTGTCTGCAGCTCAAAACCTAGTACTATTAATGAGTCACATATAAAAAGTACTGACTCTTTACTAGGTTAACATTCTGCTCAGATGCTTACACTGTTTATGTATTTGCCAGTTATTTTGTCTGGTGTTATTGATAAAGTAGATACACAAAAGTGGAAACTTTACCATATCTTAAAACAATTGTGTGATTTAATTTTATCTCCTAATTTAAATTGTTTACAAATCACATATATCGAGGAACTAGTAATAGAACATCATTTATTGATGAAAGAATGTTATCCTGAGAAAAAACTTCTTTATAAGCATCACAGAATGATTCATTATGGAACTATTATAAAACGAAGCGGACCTCTTCTTCACACGATTGTTATAAGGTATGAAGCTAAGCATAATTTTTCAAAAAGATTAGCTCATATTGTTTGCAATTTTCAGAACATTTCTTTTTCAATTGCAAAGAGACATCAAATTGCTCATGCCTTAGCTTGGATGACTCATGGTCTCCTAAAAACGATTGCTGATGTAAAAAATAGTGAAGTGTTTTTAGTTTCAGAATTAAAGAACAAAAATCTTATTCCTTTTATTGGTGAAGAAAGTGAAATTTTAGCTGTTGATTGTGTTACTGTATTGGGTCAGAAATACAGATCATGTGAAACGATTCTTTATGATTTTAATAGTGATGGTGAAACAAGTTTTGTTGTCATTTACCAGATTTTTGTTCATAGTGAAGTTGTGTATTTTTCACAACAAAGTGGGTTGTCCACAAATATTGCAATCTATCTTTATCTTACTGTTGCTCACTAGATAACCAAAAACTATGTATAAGAACATGTGACATAATAGACAACAAACTTCTTAATGCAGTGCGTTTTTTGAAAATAAATTGCAAATTCATGATGAGTATTTTGAATCATCAATTATGTCAAGATAACTTTCTATACCTACCTCACAAAATATCTGGTGATATTGTAAATATTTATTATATGTAGTTTCATATTTTATGATAATTTCTACGGTAAAAACAATTAGTTTATTATAAATATAATTACATACGTAAATATATGTACATATATGCTTTTCATACTCCGAGTCCTGTACTTCGAAGAGACAATATCAAACTTGTAATTTTTTAATACAAATAACTGTTTTTGAAAACTACAACGACTAATTTTAGTTTCTAAAAGTATTTTTTTTAAATTTCTTTTTTAAGATGTTCGTAAATTGCTTGATAAGCATCAGACAAGTAAACTTGTCGTTGTTGAATATAAGACAAGTGGAATGTAACTAAAGTACATTCTAAATACTAAATTACATACTAAAGTACAAGTGGAATGTTACAAAAATCATTACATGTGATTTTACAACTTGTTCTGAACATCCTTTCATTTCTGAATATTTTTTTGCAAAGTTAGTAAGTTTTTTCAAACATACAAAGAAATGAACAGAATAATTAAATATTAAGTTGGTGAATCATGGTAAGTAACCAGGTAGAAAATTGATCTGTTTAACTTAAATCTATAACATTTTTAAGATATTGTGGTTAATAATTTATTAGGTATTTACTTTAGGTATCCATTAAGAGCAACTAAAACAAATCTTGCAATGCCAATCATTAATGCTTTTCCTAAACTGCACTCTGGTGGACCTCTAGGATATGTATGTTATTTAACTTTGTTATCTAAATGTAATAAGTTTTTGTGCTGTTTAAACTGCATTATCCTTACTTGGATATTTAGAAAATTACTATTGCGTTTATAAGGAAGTTGAAATAAATAGCAAAAAAAAAAAAAAAAAACCTCATGGACATAATGAGGAGCAGCTAAGAACAATTAAGAAATTTGATGGTATCCATGCTCAAGCTACTTGTAAACGAAAATCTATTTCCCCAACAACTTTTGATGTTGCAGGTAAACCTAATAAAACTGTAAGTCATGCTTATATATACAACAAAAGATGCTTAACTATTTTTTTCAGTTCCTTTTTCAAATGAAAAAAGAAAAATTATAAGTGAGTTGTCATTTGATGACATTCAGTATGATCAAAAACAATTTATCCTTGAAAAAACTTGAGTATTGTGAAGAAACTGGATTATGTCATCAAAACCGCCTTTTCATGAGTTTATTCGGAAATTTTCTTAATTTAAAGATTTAGGATTTGATGTAAGCAGTAATGTTTTTTTACTTTTGTAGTGTATACTTTTGTAGTGTTTATCCAAATGTCTTGGATTACTGCTATTGCAGCATTACTAGAGTGAAATTGATTTTTTGTTTGAGAAACATTTAATGACTCTTAATTATCATTATATTAGTTTCAGAGAAAGTTTACAGCAACAATTGAAAATGCTCAAGATTTGCTTATGCATTGGGAGGATATGGCTTCTCATGTTATTACTTGGGCTCGTAGAAAGGCGAATCCAATGACAAAGCAACTACTTTTAGAGCTTGACAGCCAGCTAATTCTTTCAAATGGAGTGTCACATTATCTTCTTTAATTACTGTCTTTATAATTTATAAGTTCCACATTATAAAATATAAAAATGAAAAACTATTTTCTTTATTCTGAAATATGCACTGTTTCAATTTTAAATGTTTTTGAAAATCAAAGATTGAAATATGGAATTTGCATTTCACTTGCTTCCGTACATTCTTTAAGTGTCTCCTAGAAATAAGGATCAACCGTCTACAGCTGAAGTTGCAGCTCACTTTATTCAAATCTTTTCTGTAAGTTTATTATTTCTAATAGTATGTGCTATAAACTAGGTGAGTAATAATTTCACTTCTAAATTGTATCTTAAATATTTTTATATTTACAAAGGACACCACACCTATGGAGACTATAATTGATGCAAATAGACATACTTCTTCCATGCATCCATTTTTTATTACAATAGGGACTTGAGGCAACTTGATTCAGTCATTTATTTTTATAAAGACAATGTTATTTTGATTAGAAATGGCATGTTAAGTGCAGTAGACCGTTTACTGAAACTATACTTCGTTATCAATATTGAATATGTGTCAGAGTGCAGATATGTTTTACATTTTTTTACGTGTAGTTATGGGTATAAATGACGATTTGCAGTTGTCAAGAGGTGGAAGTGATCTGTCATTGTTTGTTAATAAAAAATTAAGGATAAACTTTTAAATGTTTTTATTTTAATGGATACCACTATATTTTTTATTTTGTAATTTATATTGAATTTATGATGCGTAAATATATGTGGCTAAGTGAACCAATATGGCTAGTTTAGCCATATTGCTATAAACAACAAAATAACAGATACCTAGTATAAAAGTTACCTAGTAATTATTTAGTTTGTTTTATCTTACTCAAAATATTTCCTTGTAGACTGGAAGCATTTTTATTTAAACAAACTCTTATGTTACAGCTTATGTTTTATTTCGTGATTTAATAACTATGTTTAAAAATAAAAGTTAGCTTAAATAAATGGAGTTTTTATAAAAGTTCTAATAGCATAACTTGTTACCGGCAATATATCTGACATGTAAATTTTAATTGTAATGATGTTCTATTGAAATTATTATAAAAATGTTTATTTGAATATACTTGAGCATTTTTTTTTAATTGATATTTTTGTTACTGCAAAGAACTTGGGAAAAAAAAAAAACTTATTTTGATTATCTCAAAATATTCTTCCACCTTTAGATCATATATAAGAAATAATTTTGTTTCAAAGAAAGAAGTCTATATAAATATTAAATCTCCAAGAATTTTCTCATTATAGGCAACTTTCTAACATTTTTTAAAAAACTAGTTCAGATTCATATTTTGTACTCCACCAGTTCAGTTCAGTTCAGGTTTTTGTACAGTTCACGTTTTTGTACAGAACTATAGTTCAGGTTACCTATTGGGGTTGTTCGGGTTTTTTAAGCAAACAGTTCAGGTTCAGGTGATTAGCCTGAATATTCGTCTGGCACTTTTTGAAGCAAACTAGTTCAGGCAAAACGTCTGAAAATTCGTATATTTACCGGAACTTTTTTAATAGTGTAGTAAAACAATTTTTAAAATTATAAAAAACTTCAGATTAAAACAAACATGGATTTCAATTATGGAATTGCATAACAAAGTGGTATTAATAAAAGTTATAACTAAAATATAACTTTGCAAGAAAATAATAATAATTTATGAAATTGGTATCAAAATAGTCAAGCATTTTCATCTTTATATTTGTCCATTTCTCAAGTTCTAGATAAAAAAAATTATTAATTGGATGTGGAAAATCTAAAACCTTTATAATTTTTTAATTTTGTACTGAAAAACCAGTTTAATAGAATAAAATAAGTCTAAAAAAACCTTAAACATTCTTAATTAAAATACCATAGAAGTGGAAACTATTGAATGCATGATTAACAGTTTTGAAAACAAAAGAACTTAAACATATAACATAAAATGTTAGCAATTGCATTCAAGTAAAATAAACTTCTATACAACTTAAAAAATATTTGATATGCAAAAATAAAAAACTTCAAATTTATATAAAAAAATTAATAAAATACATAACCATTAGCACATTTCAAAGCATAAAAAATTTAGAACAACAGTTTACCAGGAACAATTCTGGTTGATTGAACTTTAGTTCCATCTGCTTTTTCATAGTTAACATATTCAATGGAACCCATAATCATAACACGAGACCTGAAATTGTAATCATAAAAAGAATTGTTTTATTTATTTATTTTTTTTTACAATGAATGTAAAGAAATTTTTTTAAGAATACCCTTTGTCAACATATTGCTCCACTCTGTCAACTAGAAATGGTCTAAATACAGTAATATCGTGCCACTCTGTTTTTGTCATCATAGCTGAAAATAGTTAAAACTTATTACTGCATCAGTATTAAAAATATATCAAAGAAAATAATACAGTATATACGTACAGGCATATATATATATATATATATATATATATATATATATATATATATATATATATATATATATATATATATATATATATATATATATATATATATATATATATATATATAAATATATATATATATAAATATATATATATATATAAATATAAATATATATATATATATATATATATAAATATAAATATATATATATATATACACAAATATATATATACATATATAAATATATATATATATATATATATATATATATAAATATATATATATATATATCAGCCCTTAAGAAATTAGGAAAAATAGGGTCAGCAATATTTTGCCGACATAATTTGTTAGAGGTCAGCAAAAAAAGTTAGAGCGGCATTGTCGAATGCCGACCCTAATTCTAAGGGTTAATATACATATATATATATATATTATATATATATATATATATATATATTTTAACATTTTCGCTTCCAACAAGGCTGCAAGCAACCACTAATTAGTGATGGAAGAGAAAAGATGAAGATTGTAGAGCAAGATAACGATTGACAGACGACTTAAAAGATTGCAAATTATATGAATCAGGAAAGCAAGATGAAGGAAGCAAATTCCAAAGAACTGATGTTCGAGGAAAAAAACTAGACGAATAAGAGTTTTTGGACCACTTAGGAACAGTAACATAAAAAGGATGAGACTTGATTGAATGACGAGTAACACGAGAATGAATTTTAGTAGATGGCACAAGAGATGCTAGCTCTTTAGAGCAGTAGCCCATTATGTCTGTGTGTGTGTATAAACACACACACACAAATATATATATATATATATATATATATATATATATATATATATATATATATATATATATATATATATATATATATATATATATATATATATATATATATATATATCAGGCCTCGGCAGGAAGAAATGAGTGCCGAGGCCTTTTTTCTTTACCCCTCTTTTTTCTTTACCCCTCTGCCAAAATTGTTGTTATTAGTGACTTTAATGCTCATCACACTGAATGGCTTGGCCCTAGGCCACTGACGCTGCTGGCACTAAAAACTATAACTTCTACATCTTTTTGCAAATTTTTATTTGAATTTCTGATGAGTCTTAGTTGATGAAACACAGTGTAAAGTAAAAAAATTTTGTTAAGTGATATATATATATATATATATATATATATATATATATATATATATATATATATATATATTATATATACAATTATTTCAATTTTATAAACAAGGAATTTTTTAGACAGCTTATATATAGTCAAAATAATAGTTAATAATCAAAGTTAATATAGTCAAAAAGATTTTATTGAAAAATACAAATGTACAGAAGAATACAAATAGGTAGCAAACTATAAATTTTAAATATAAATTTGTAAATCAACCTGTGGGTCCATTATTTGTTTTCTTCGAATAATTAATGTTTGTTGCCAAACCAAATGTAGCAAACTTTTTATCTTTTTCACCACGTATAACAGGTTTTTGGCCAACTCTTCCGAGTAGTTGGACCATGTTCAAACCTGATCATTAAAAATTGGTTAAGAAATTAATTTTCATATAAAAAGTTCAAAATTAACAACACTAAGATCTTATTCATTACTTTTTTCCATCGGTCCAGTGTAATCGGAAAAACATCTCTTGGTTATAGTAAGGATACTTGAAAACTAAATTATATGGTAAATATAAACAAAATCTTAAAGTTACAACCCATTATCACAATAGCCTAATACTCTAATAACTTAGTTATCACAGTAGTTAATTATCACAATAGTATAATAACTTTTTATGTCTAATTTGTTTTATAAAGCAAATAACCACTTTCTAGTTTAAAAACATTACAAGATTTGAAAAAAATATTTACCTTATTTATAATAGGTTTAAAAGACAAATAAATTTTATAATTTACAATAAGTATTTCTTATAATTGGTTACCTTGTAAGGTTGAAGCACTTTAGGAGCTAAATTCATTTTCTTATTTGGGCTAAAAGAAATTAAAAGAAAATATGCAAACTTTAAAACTTTATAGCTTTGAAACACATGGAAAAAAAAAAGAGATTTTAATGATAACAATGGACAATGGAAATTTCTGAGCTATTGTTTAATAAAAGATACAGTGATTAGCTAGGTGTGTTATTAGTAAATTAAGTTCAAAACGAGAATGATCAAGACATAAAAAAGTGTGAAAATATAGTTGGTTTTAATGTAAACTGGAATTAAGGATTCTAGAACTCTATGGTAGCTCTTAAAGAGACTCAACCAATAAGCTGTAACAATCTTAACGGCACCTTCATTATTTTATTGCCAATATTTAAAATAAAGTCAATATTTTACTGACATTTGGAGCTTTGAAAATGAACAATAAATAAAATAAAGTCAATATTTTACTGACATTTGGAGCTTTGAAAATGAACAATAAATAAAATAAAGTCAATATTTTACTGACATTTGGAGCTTTGAAAATGATCTTCCTTTCCTTAAAATTTCATCTTTTTCAAAATTTGTTTTGTTTATTGTAAGTCATTTGTTTTTGTTCTCATATTTATATTTTATCTTGCTAGGTCTGGGTAAGTTTGTCAGTAATTTAAACTCTTATACATTCCATCCTTTTGTGTTCACTCTGCTAACTTTTTTTTCTTTTACCTCTATATTTTCAGGACTGCTAAAATTTTATATTTAAATAACTAGGTCCTTTTTCTTTACAAATCCAGCTAAAAACTATTGAAATTATAGGCAAATTTAAATTATTGGTAATAATTAAACTGATTAGGTCTAGCATGTGTGAGTTATAAAAAACCAGCATTATTGAACTACTTAGAACTAGCTGTAATTTGTGGACGTTTTGGTTTCGTATGGTCTGCATATGAATATTAGGTATACTTCAAATTGTGCAAGATGAAAATTTTACAAGATGAATATTTTACAGATACCAAGTTCTTTCTTATCAGGACAGTTTGGACATATCTAGTTTTTTTTTAGAAAAGTCTTTTTCAACCAGATACAAAAGCTGATTGTGAAGTTGTTGGTCTTGATCAACATTCAACCATAAACCTGTCACATCATCATAAAGTTTTTCACTTACTACTAGTATTTTTTATTCAAAAAGCTATTATTTCCTATTTCAATTCAACATCATGTTGTATGACTAATCTTTTTAATGCGATTGTTTCTACTATCTGTGCTTTATGCAAACATTTGTGCTTTGGATTTCTTTTCCAAATATAGTTTTTTCTAAATATTGTTTTCTAAAGTTTTCTGTAAAGCATTTTTGTGCTATTTAATATCTCAAATTTCCGTGCTAGTTTCTTATCAATTTTCAAATTAAATAATGGCTGCTTGCAGCCAACTTAAGATTGAACTAGTATGTAATAAAAAGTAATAACAGATAAAAAACATTTGACAGAATAAAATAATGGAAACAATAATTTAAACATTTTTAAAATTTATATATTTAATATGTAATAAATATCTTCATATATTTCAAATCATTTTAAATAAAAAAAATCATAAATAACATTAAACTTTATTAAAAACTTATCAAAATTTATGAAAACAATTTTTTTGTAAATTAAAAATAGTTTTACATATTAACATTTCTTAACTCGTTCACCACGACACAAAGAAATTTGCAAATCAATTTCATCTTCTATATTACAACTATGCTCATTTTCAGTATAGAAATGAGATTTTGAGTTTGTACATTTTCGTAAACGCTTATTTGGAGGCGATAAATCTATTTCTTGTTTATTTTGATGTACTTTTCTTCTTTTTTTATGATGATTATGATGATCTTTCGATTTATTGTCTTTATTCGATTTGAAATCATTCTTATTTTTCAAGTACTGTTTATTTGATTCTAAATCCTTATCATAACTTTTATTATGCCCACATTCAGATTCCGATGAATACTTACGTTTTCTTTCATTACATAATTCATTCTTTTTTTTCTTTTTCTTTTTCATACACCATTTCTCATCTTGATTAAATTCATCTGTTTTATGTTTTTTCTTTTCAGCTTTTCTTTGCAATTTTGTTAAATTTTTTAAAAGTCTTTTTTTTTGTTTGCTTGAAAGAGTCTCAATGTATTTCATATCATCTTCACCTAAAAATAAAAATAAAACCAATAAAATTATCAATTTTTATTAAAAAAAAAAATTATTTTAAAACTTTTTGTTAATTACAAATAAATAAGAAGTATGCCATTTACTAAATATATTGAGAGCAGTTACAAAGCTGTAATTGCAAATTATTACAAAGCAGCTTAGAGTACAAAGTTGTATTAGCTCTAAAGTATTTTATAATTTATTATTTAGAAAATATATAATTATAGAAAGAAAAGTTGGCAGTTATGAACAAAAATTAATCTGTGATAAGGTTTTTATAGAATTTAGGCAGCAATTAACTGATTGATAAACTTTAAACAATTTTCAAGTTAAATATAAACTTTTTAAAAAATAAAAAAATAAAAAAATATTTATACTTTTTGTCAATACGTTTTTTAGTGACACTATAGCCCCCTTGTTAATATAAGTTTTTATTTCAATTAGATTATATTACAAAACAAAGACTATTACAAGTTAAGATTACCTACCCTTGGTTGTTTTAGATTAAAACATTTTAATGAAGATACACTTGCTTTTTACACACACAAAAAATATAAGTATCTAAACTAACTTTAAATATTAAAAAGACATGGGCTAAATATATATTTATAAACATAACGCAACCTGAGTGCTTATTTTTTATAAAAAACTTTATATTTGAATTGCTTATTTTTGTAATAATGTACCTGATACATATTAATTAAGAACTCACTTTGTTTTATGTCTTCTTTTTAAACTTGTTTTATTATGCCTAATATTTTAACTCCAAAACGGGTTAACAGATAAAACAACTAAATAAAAAACACTTGTTATGTTTATCTCTAAACAAAAAAAATCATTTAATGCTTATTTGTTCTGCAAGATTCTAGCCAATCAGCTTGCTATTTATAATTTGATGACAATTTCAAGATGTGCAAAACTGCACAAAATTTTTATTTTTGTAATTCAATAATGTAAGTTGAATTATGATAAATTTAATTATTTCAGAAAATAGCATTTAAAACTATCTCTAAATAATTAATAAAAAATTAGTTTAATATATAACAATGATTGTGTGAAATTTAATATAATCTTATTAAACATTACTCAATTGTTTTTTTTTTATTAAACATTACTCAATTGTTTTTTTTAGTTATTGTTGTTGATGATCTGATACAGTAAAATAAATTATTGTATTATTATTTCAGTGAAGGACTTATAAAGAAAACTCAAAAACAGACAAGAAATATTGATATGTGAAAAATAAATGTCACAAAGAAAAAAAGAATCAGATTCCTATCAAGAAAGGAAGAGTGATTAAGAATAGAAAAAAGTTGTTTTGTGTTTTGATATGGAAAATGTTATTCATCTTCCTAGAGCAAATTTTTTACCAAAGTTTTTTATAAAAGAAAATTATCACATTTTAATCTAACTGTTCATAGTTCAACAAATAAAAAAGTTTACTGTTGTGTGTAGACAGGGGCTATTCTAGGAAAAAAAATTTGATTGGCGGTACCCCTAGTCACAGAGGAAATATTGCCAAATATCGGTGTTTTTTTACAAAAAAAAAACAAACAATTTTTACAGCTAAAAAAAAAAAAGGTTTCTTATTTTTTCATTTAGGTGGCGCCCTAATCGGCGCCTAAATACAGTCGACGCTGTCGAAAACAGTCTAGAATAGCCCCTGGTAGAGTGAGTATACTGGTGTTAGAACTGTTAATTGATTTGCATCAGTGTTAGTATTTTAGTAGGCAATTAGTTTTAGAATATTTAAATGTAACAGAAATTATTCTTTGGTCAAACTAATGTGTACCACAAAATAGAAACTCAATAACTGCTTTTGCTTTAAAAAGGTTTATACTAGAAAGTACAGATAAAGATAATTACACAAAACTTTCAGAAAAAGGTCATTCTCTTGTGCAAGAAGTTGATAATACTCATAGCTTAATTGAAAAAACTTTAGGAGTAAATTACTTAGCTGAATAACTTATTTTGTGTATAAAAAAATTTCAAATCCTTCAGATGAGATCAGCAGACTTTTTTAATTCTGAAAAAATATCAACGACTATGAATAAGATACTTTTTTTTCCATAAACAACTAAAATATCATTCAAATATGCCACATTTTTATTAACATACAAGGACAGTCACTATCACAGAACCAGAAATAAATGTAAGTATTTGAAAAAAAAGAGAAGGGCATTACAAGTTTGCACAAAAACACATTTGCAGAAAATAGTCCCAATTTCTAATATCTAATTATTAAAGGGATCTCCAAGTGTCGAGACAAGTTGAGTTCATATCAAAGATAAACATTAGAAAATAAGTTAAATGTTAATATTTAACATCAAAGATAAACATTAGAAAATAAGTGAATGTTAATATTGAATGAGATATTAACAAAAGCTTTTGCTGTTTTGCCATTATACTTCTGGTTAAGAGCCTAATTTTAGGCTCTCAAATCTGCAATTTTTATTAGTTGAAAAAACATCTGGTTTCAATAATAGATAATTTCCCTCACCGCAGAGTTTTTTAAACAGTTGAGTTTTACATAATCAGATTGTGTTTTCCCCTTTAAAAATAGTCTGCGGTGGTTATAAAAAGCGTTCACTGTAGCATATTTTTGTTTTTTGTTCAACGTATTGTATTTAAGTTAGAATAAACTAGCGTAAGTGTTTAAGTTAGAATAAACTAGCGTAATAAAAATAATCGAATAACTAATCGAAGCGAACTTATTACTTTTATTAAAAATACAGCAAAGTATATGTTTTCTTTTACAATCTGCAATTTATTTGTGCTATTTATCACTAAATCACAAAAATAAAATAGTATTTTTGTGATTGAATTTATACTTTATTATATTAATTTATACTTATAATTCAAGATACCATTTTTAAAATGATCTAATATATATTTATTATATTGATATTAAAAAATTAAACCTTATATTATCGTTTAACCACAAAAGGGAAACCCCAAACATACTCTACATGTTTAACTCAATTTAGGTTTTTAAAAAAAAACTTTTTATTGATGTCAAATATTAAATACAAAAATACATTAATCAGACCGGATAAAAAAAATTAAATAGTGAAAGAGTCGGATCTTTATTTTGCGAGAACAAAATGGCATTAAAAATAAAAGTTTCTTGTTAATATCTCATTCAATAATTTGTTTTGAAAGGTTTAATTAACATTTAACTTATTTTCTAATGTTTATCTATGATATGAACTTTGATATAACTTGTCTTGACGCTTGGGGATCCCTTTAACATCACTGATTCCACTAAACATAAAAAAAATGGCGTCCTATGATTCAACCGAATCTCTAATTTCAATTTAGAACCGAATATGAGAAATTTATTACACAACCGAAACTATTTACGAAAAAAATTAGAACCGAAAAAATTTCAATCGAATTTTCGATCGAAAGTCATTAATGATTTTAGAACCGAAAAAATTTTGATCGAATTTTCGATCGAAAGTCATTAATGATTTTAGAACCGAATTTAATTAAAATGGTTTACAACCGAAAGTTACACTTAATTAATTACAATTAAGTGAGCATTTTTAGAAAACGATGAGGGAAAACGAAGAATAATGAATGAAAAGGTTGCTGACCCATACCAAACCCTCAGTCGATGTAGCAGCACTCCACTGCGAGTCAGGCTATTTGTCAGTCGATGTATGTACTGAAGCCCCTAGCAGCAGGCTATTTGACTTTAAGTGAGTATGACATCATCATGCTCACCTAACTCAGCAGTATAAGATATATGTATATATATTTTAAAGAAATTTTAATTGTTTATTATATTGTAAAACGACTAACTGAAAAAAAAAAAAAAAAATTAAAAAAAGAAAGGATTTTGTAATTCGATCCAAATTTTTTCGTTTGTAAAATTCGGTTTAAAAACTTTCGGCGCAAGAAAGGATTTTGTAATTCAATCCTGCAATGAAAGTATACTTTTCGGTTCATAAAATTTTCAGTTGTGAAATATTTCGGTGATATTTTCGAGGATAAATATTTTCGGTTCTATCATGTGACACGGAAAAAATTAAAGATATAAAGGCAATGTTATGTTTTCTGCCTCCAATTGACTGTGCATTTTATGAAACAATCTTAAAATAAAAACTTTTTATTATACTGAAACTAATATTTTTTGTTGAAATAATTTTTGATTCTTACTACAATTTATAATTGTTTGATATTATATTTGTATAGTATTTGTTGTGCATATATAATTTTAGTAGTACTTTAATAATAACAATATTAATATTGAATAGAAATCATTAACATAAGATTATTTAAAAATATAATATTTCTGGATTTCTTTCAATTTTCAAATGACATTAAAATGAAATATCCACTATATATAAAAAACCAGATAGTTCCAGCCAGATATCGGATATCAAATAAAACTCCTATCCGGCCCAGATAGCTAATCCGGGACACCCCTAATTAAAATTATTTTATAAATTTTTAAAGATTTTTTATGTAATATTATTCATAATTAGAAATTTCTGATAGGAAAAACTAAAAAGTAATGGTAGCTAGCTTCCAAAATATATTTGAAACTGCACAAGTGTTTATATAAATATTTTTTATTATTAATTCACCTTCTGAAGGCAGAGAAGGCCAATAAAGGTGAGGAGGCTACTTTAGTTGTGGTTACAACCTTCTCTTAACTCTACAACTTCAAAACACATTTTTTTCTGTTTACATCAATTAGTCATCTAGAGAAACAGAAAAAAAGTAGGAACTGAAATAAACCGAAATTTTGGGTACTCTAGTTTAGATACCAAAACAGATACCAACATTTTGGATTGTAAAAATTAATTTTATTAGAAAAAGTTATTTAAAAAAGCAATTTTACATTTATGGTTTTTTTATACTCCTATTATGATAGAACTGATTACACATGCATCAAAAAATAAGATTTAATACATAAGTTGGCAATATAAGTTAGTAGCGAAAGTAAACAACTGGAAAATTTTCTCTGCAAAACAAGATTTTTTTGAGGTATTTTGTGAAAATTCTTAAAATATTTTATTAAAATGCTTAAAAACAACTGTTTTTCTAAATTAGAAAAAAAATTTAAATCTTACAAATTTTTTGGTTTTGGGTACGTTTTTCAAATGAAATTTTACTTTTTACCGAATTTATAAAAAGTAACGAAATCCTAATTCTGGCTGAAACCAACATCGAAACAGAATTTTGTTAGATCACTAATATATAATCATATATAGAATCATATATATATATATATATATATATATATATATATATATATATATATATATATATATATATATATATATATATATATATATATATATATATATATATATATATATTTATATATATATATATACTTTAAATAAATCTCCATGTAGTCTATGTTCTTCTAGTGTTGTTAATTTCATATTATTTAACCTTTTTAATAACATAAGTATTTTATTAGTAAGTGCTAGCTTAGTTACTCTTATTTAGATCTATTTATCTTCGTCTATGTTTTATTATAATTTGAGACAATCTTATTATAATTATGGAGTACTGCAAGTTCAATATGTGGTCATGATACGGTTTGGACTATACTCCATTATATCATTTTATTCATCAAAATAAGATTATAAAAAACTCGAAACAAATTCAACATGCTCGCCCAAATCTAAACGGTTATGTTCCGAAACTTAAAACTTATGATTTTGGTTTGAATTAAAAAAAATTTTCTCTTGTGATTTTTTGGTGTTATTTTGCTTCTTTTTTTTTAAGCAATTTTTTATTTTTGAATGACAATTACATAAAAACAGTTTGAATGACAATTACAATTGATATTAGTTCTATTTACAAAAATAATAAGTTGAGAAAAACCAAAGAAATTTTTATTTTTATCAACTTAACATTTTCATAAAAAATGTTGAGCAAAAGTAAAAAAAAAAGTTGTTATATGACGCATAAAAAAAAAAAAAAAAAAAAAAAAAAGAAACATGATTTAAAATTTTTTTTTATCATCAAGCGCAAGAATATTAATTTAGGCAATTTCTCATAAACAGTAACAAAAATAATTACTGAATTTAAAAAAAAATAAAAACAAAAAAATAATAACTAAAAAATAGTATACATTAAATTTTATTTTATATTTGGGACACTTTTTACATTTTAATTTTTTGTGTTTGTTTTGTTATAATGATTGATTTTATGAAGAAAAAAAATGAAAAAACAATTATTACAAACTTTAAATGACATCTTATAAAGAGTTTATTTTTTTATAATTTAATAAAAACCTTCTATGGATATAACTCTATTAATTTTTCATCTAGAGTAAATATAATCGACCCTTGGAATTAGGAAAAATGAGGACGGAAATAAACCTCAATCTTTTAGAGGTCAGCAAAAAAATCAGGTTGGCAAAAAAATTATTTTATTGTTACAAGTATTTATTATTATTGAAGCAAGTTAATAATACATCAGATTTTTATAATCAACAGATTGTGCAATATTATACATTACAATATTACATCAGCTTTATATAATCAACAGATTGTGCATATCAATTAGGTGAACAGATTGTACAATATTACATATTACAATATTACATCAGCTTTATATAATCAACATATATTGTGCAATATTACACATTACAATATTACATCAGCTTTATATAATCAACATATATTGTGCAATATTACACATTACAATATTACATCAGCTTTATATAATCAACAGATTGTGCAATATTACATATAATATTACATCAGCTTTATATAATCAACAGATTGTGCATATCAATTAGGTGAATAGATTGTGCAATATCAAAAAGGTGAAAACAGAAATTTCCTTATAATTTAGAAAAATTTTGATTAAAAAAGTTATTAAAATTCCTAATAACACTGCATCAAAAAATGTTTAAAAGCATACTTTTTTTGTCATAAAGCAAGTGAAAGTGCAACGGTATAAACTTTTAAATAAATTGTACTTGGAAACTTAAATCTTGGTTGTCACAAAAAAACCGCTTTTGACTTTAGTTTTTTTAGCACAAAACATATTGTCTCATCCAAGTTAAAAATTTAAAACTTCAAATTGAGATTTGCCCATCTATTGATAATTTCTGATTGCTAAAATTATGTCATCTGATTCTTAAACCATTAAAAATGATAGTCTATGCTTTTTCGTAAACCGTTGAAGCTACAATTTTTTATGCGCATCTGACGTCATTTTTTGGCAAAAAACTAGAAAAACAAACTAGAAAAAAGGTTTAATTTAAATTTTTTTAAAAAACTTTTTCCATTAAAGATATATGGAATATATTTTTATGGGATATACTCTAACAAAGACAAAAACTATTTATTTATTACTATTGTAATAAATACAAATACCAATTTTCTATATTTTTATGCAACAAAATTAAAATTAATTAAAAAATGTAAGTTAAATACAAAGGAAACTTGACGCATAAACGTTTATTTTGCCACAAACCGACGTCAATGCACAAATTTTTTTTGCTTAACTTTTAGATTAGACTTACAAAGACCGCATTTTTACGGGTCCGATCTCAGCTAGTTTTATATAATTAAGTATTTTTACTATTACTTTCTTTAAAAATAAATACAATATTTAGTTTTAAGTAAATACAATATCTAGGTATTTATTTTATTTAAAATTTATTTTAATTATAATTATAGAATATCATATATTGAAATTATTGTTTTTGCTAATGTGTTTTTTAAACACATATGGCTATTAAAATAATCACTACTTTATTTAAACAGGATATTGATGCGAAAGGCAAGAAATAAATGCCAAAATAAATTTTTTACAATTATAAAGTTGTAAATTTTTTACAACTTTATAATTTTGTTTATATATACTTTAAAATAATTTAATATTAATCAATTTAGTAAATATGTAAATATTAAATAAAAGTTTAAAATATGTGCTTAAAAAATGGTCAAAGTGTTATTTTATGTATGTGAAGAGAAATTAACTTTTTACTATTAAATCCATCACAGATTTTTTATGTGTATTGCTTGAATATTTTATTTTATTTTTTGAAAAATTAATTATCAGGTAAGAAAAAAAAGAAAAAGCACCATGAACTCTCTGAAATGGCAAAACAAAGACAAATGTTTTTTTACACCTAAGTGGTTAGATATATAGTTGTTTTTGTTGTATAATTTGTTTTGCATAAAGATAAATTGGGTTTCCAATCCGATTTAAATGGATATCTGAAAATTGGTTACCCATTTAAATCGGATCAGATATAAAATAAAATTTTAACTATCTGAAAATCTGGTATTGATTTCAGATTTTAACAAACCAGACCAGATATTCGGTTTTGCTCACCACTATGATTAAGTAAGGTAAAACATAATGGAGAGAATTTAAATGTTTAAAATTTAATTTACATATTTAAGGATTCCATAATATAAATAAAATAAAAACAAAAGCTTTTAAATGAATGTGACTTTAAATATTTTTTAAGATAAAATAAATTATTACATGTCTATTGATTATTAAACGAAACGCCATAGGTACTTAAAAATTCTGAAAATGATAATTATCTACAATCATTAAAATTTTAAACATTATTACAACTTTCTAAATAAAAAGTCTTTTCAAATTATAAATTTTATTTAATATCTGATTTTAAGAATTAACATTATATTGTTATTTTTTATTTTGCTTTTATACTTTTTTTGCTTTATGTTTGGCAACTGATAAGTTTATAATTTACATAGTTTGATTTGCCATTTAAAAAATTGTTTTATTTTATATATTTGTTTAATTTATATGATATAAATTTACATTATTCCCTTAAACTGATGAACATGAACATTAAAATTAATTTTGAACTAATCATTTTTAAAAGTTTAAATATATATATATTTTAATTCTTTTGCAATTGCAAAATTTATAGTTACCAATATCGCTGCATTCTTTATCACTTTCCAATAAAGTTTGATTTTCAATCATGGGATCTATTTCCTGTCCAATAACAGATTTTTTTAATGTAATTCCATGCTGCTTACGCATGTCTTTAACCAACTTTAAGGGATCACTATATCTTAGACTGTCAGCAGCTTTACCAATTTTCGCTTCAGCAAAACTATTTGAAAAGAATAGAGGGCATTCACGATCTGTATTTTGATGTCCCCATTCTTTGCATTTGAAACAACGTATATTTCGAACACATATTCCAAACGGTTGATCTTGGCACTCAATGCCTAAGTCATTGATATATTTAGGACGAGGTGCATGTTTTTGCCACTCAAACTTAACCTAGAAAATATTAAATTTTGAACTAAGCATTAAAATACCCATTTTTTACTAGTGTTCTGATTTTACATTTTTGTATTTTATTATTTTTACAAACACATACCATAATTAAAAAATGATAATAAATTAAAAGATTTATGTTGAGTTCCTTTTTTTAAAATACTTCAAAATACTTTGTTAAAATTCTTACTTAAGGTTATTTTAAGACTAAAGGTTGCATACATATGGAGTGATCAGGTAAAATAACATTATTTTAAGAAACAAATATATACCTACTACTGCAGACATGGCCGTTAAGAGGGGAATGAACAGGGAAGATTCCCAGGGCCCCGTGTGTGTACAAATAATTTATTTATTGCTTCCAAAAAAACTTAAAGATAAAAAATATGTAAGTTTTTAATATAATATATATGCTTCTTTTTATTCTTTTTAATTTTTAATTCTTTAAATTAAAATTTGAATTTTTCAATCAACATCGTTAACTATTCTTTTGTTAATGCTGGATTTTTTAATTTTTATTTTAGACACAAAATGTTGTTGTTTTTTGTAAGAATAAATTTTTAACTTTAAATTTTAGTAATACAGAGTATAAGCTCTTGCCATAAATCTGAATATTATAAATGAAAAAAGTGACAAAAAAGAATTGAAATAATTCTAGAAGTATGAGAACACTAGAAAACCTGGGGTATAAAATTTCTATAAAAACACAGAACAATTATAATTATAATAATAAAAACATTGACTCTCTAAGTGCAAGAAATATAACGGAATTTGTTTGAACTTCTGCAGTCGAAGTACAATCTGATATTTTGAAACTTTCTATATCGACATCAATAAAGAGTGTTAAAAATAATACCAAAAGACATAGAAGATCCCATTCTAAGAGGTCCAGAACCACACCCAAAATATTATATGATAGAATACCTGACCATAAAAAACCTAGCAATTATAAATCTTTTCATATAATGTAGTGAAATTAAAATTAATAAACATACCACAATTATAATACAGAATGAGACACAGAATGGAAAGATTTATTAAAACAATTATTAGATGTAATTTTATTTCTTGCTGAGTATGGATTGACCTTTAGGGGTGTTACTCATTTTATTGGAGATGCAAATACAATTTTTAAGATTATTAGAACTTATATGTCATTATAATCTGTTTTTATAAGGACATTTAAAAAAACGAATAGCAGACACAAAACAAAAAGCATAGACTGCAAGTACATTGAAACTGTGAAATACTATTCGCTTATTGTAGACTCGACACCCAAACCTGAGCATGTAGACAAACTACATTCATTTTACGGTACATTACTATTAATTTCAACAAACACATAATTTTGGAAAGATTTCTTGTATTTGTTGACTGTAATAAGAAGACTGAAGAATATATATTGCTAATTTAATTCTTGAAACGCTACAAAGATATACTATTACAAAAGGTAAGACACTTTATTTAATTGAAGCCCACAAGGATAGAAAATACTAAAAAATAATACTGGATGTTCTTTGCAAGCTAATGTCAAATCAACGCTGGTCTGCAAGAATTGAAAATGTTAAACCATTTGCTGAAAAAATTTAAAAATGCAATAGATTCTGTTTTGGAATTAAACTTAATGTCAGAAATTCAATCAGATCTTAACAAAATAAAAAATTATATAAAATCTTTTGAATGTCTAGTACTGGTAAAAGTATGGTGCAAAATTCTTGTAGCTATAAATTACATATTGTTTTACAAGTTCGCAGTGTAACAATTGATGTTTAAGTAACCAATTTGTCAAGTTTTCTTGTTGAATTAATGCACTAGATTTAATTAGGACAATGTTTAAGGGCCAAGTCAGGCCAAATGCATCCACTACTGTCTTGTAGAAGATCTCCTAGGCAAAGACTTAAGGGGTAAACAGATTCTACCTCTTGACCAGCCTCGCACCCCTTCTTCATCTATTATGCTGGCGCAGATGTATTTTTAATACATTGAACCCAGTTTAGGATGTTGAATGCTGCACCTTCTTGACTCAATGCATGGGTTTTGTTTGTCTCTGTTTTTATGACTAGGCAACTCATTCTATTATCTCTAATTCATTTAATTTGCAATCTTTTAAGTGGCCTGTCAATCTTGCTCTACTATATTCATCTTTTCTTTTCCAGTAACTTCCAACTCTAATAGTGGTTGCTTGCAGCCTTGTTAAAAGCAAAAATGTTAAAAAATAAAAAATAAAAATTAAACTTAAAAAAAAAATTAACTAAAATGAATGTAAATTGTTGGGCACATCTTTACAGATAAACACAAATTTTTCAGGAAAATATACTATAAGGAAAAAAACAGCACATGAATTAAAAAGCACCATTGGAAATATGACAAGAAGATTTAATGTAGATTTTTTTATTCAATGTATTATAGTTGTTCCATGACTTAAATGATCAAAAAATCAGTGTTTAAATTTTTTTGTACAATTTTTCCCAACTTTAACTTTTAAAAGATTTGAATAGTTTCGACTTTTAAAAGATTCAATTAGTTTTAATTTTTACTTTTAAGAAGCCAGAGCACACCTCTGGGTTTGATCATAATAAAGGCCAGTTAAATAAACTTCGCAAGGTCCAAAAATTACTCTGGGCGGCACTGACTGCAGATTTAATTTTGCAAGTACGAATATATTCTGGACACTAATTTTTGCTTTTTCTACTATATATCTTAGCATAATAATAAATTTCCTTTTAAACAACTTGATATACCTATTAGCTCAGTTATACATTATAATATAGTTTAGTGTATACAACTTTATGGCCTCAATCATTTGGTAAATAGCAACTCAAGTTCTTTTTCATTTTAGAAATAAAACTTTTTTTTATTTTAACTATAAATAGTCACAAAATACATGAACTTATACACAGTGTTTCTAAATGTGAAAACCTTACCCTTTTATTTTGGTATTTTTTCAAATATTAAAACCTTTCAAAGATTTAATTGAACTAATGCTTTTAATATCTAGCTAGAAAAAAAGAACAACTGACCAAATATCTGACTAATACATATTAAACTCATTTGTGTTCTGTTTTAGTAATAGATGACCTTATTAAAATGGAGCAAACATTTATTTATATAAACCTATTAAGGTATAAATGAAATATATTTAACTGTTAGGAGCATTGCTCTTAAAAATATTTTACCTCACTTTAGCTGAACAGTAAAATTATATTAAAAAATATAAAATAACAATTAAAGATTTAGTTTAACTCTCAATTAACATACATTAATGATAGTGATGATTCTAAAGATTCAAACTATATTAATTTAGACAAAAGAAATCCAGTGTTAAGTGTTATAAAATAAATAATTATATTTGTTTTACAACTTAAAAATTATGTTGTTTAACAAAGCTGTGTTAAAGGACTATATGCAAAAACATTCACAAATGAAAGTAAGATAAAAACAAAGTGGATTGCACATTTTGGAAAACTGCTTTATTAAAGGTTTAAGTTGAATCAAGTTTTATCTGCAGCGAATAAGCTTAGTAGACCAGCAAAGCTAGCAGAGAAGAACTAGAGCCTGGTTTAGATCAAGGAAAAATATTGGTAATAAAAAATTTGAAAAAATATTTACAACCAACAAAATAAGAAACAGAGTATTTAACAATAACATGCAACTTGATTTTCAGAAATTACCAAGTAGAAATTACTGGAAAGTGGCCATGTGAAGTACGTAGAAAAAGAAATAAACAAACTAAATTGTTGGTATAGTTTGTAAGCAATGCAAAGATAAAGTGGTATACAAGGTGCTCCTAACATTTTTAAATTTGAATGTAGAAAATGTAATTTTGTTTAATACAAAGAAGTCAAAACAGTGTTAGATTGAGAGCATTGATTTGTTTTATTAGCTAAAAGATACACTTGGATCAGCTAGTTGATTAGAAAGGACATCTTGGCCAAGAGTAAGATGTGCTTGGCTCAGAGAAATTTAAACTGTGCAAGCATACTTGCTTGGTTTAAGCATGCTTGCACGGTTTAAATTTTTATGAACTTGGCCTAAGCACTATGTCATAGGAAAAAGAACACTTAACAGGATTCCTATTTCTTTTTAGGTTAATTAACAAATATAACTTTAACACCAACAATCTAACTTTATATGAATTTAGTAAAACTGTAACTTAAAGATTTTTAAAAAATAAACTAAAAATTATGAACTTAATACACGAAATTTAATTACTTAATATTGGTCAGCTTTTTATACCTCCTCTTCTTTTTCAATTTTCTCGTCGTTTATTTTTTTCATTCCAGGTGGTTGATCATACATAAAATTTAGATCAAGTTTCATTTTATCGTTGTCGGTTTTTGCAGATAACATTCTGCTTTGATAACTCTCTTGCTCTTTTTCGTAAGTTTCTTGCAGATCTTGCTGCACCTTTTCTTTAGCAGCAGCTCGTTGCTCGTGAACCCATTTTTGTTTTATGTTTGGAAGAGAACCAGGATGAAAAAATTTTTTGTTCATAAATTTTCCAAACATTTTCTGTATATGCTGAATGTAACTACGAAAACTTGTTTAAATTATTTGCAATTTATTCCATGCTTTTATAAGACTTTATTTATATAATGTCGAGCTTGAAAAGTATAAAAATTTGTAAGTTAAAAAATTTACGAACTCGTTCATTACGCACTTAACCACTCACGATTTCTTAATTTTGTAGTTTATTCGAATTTTGGTAATTTCGGTCATTCCGGTTTTTAATGTTTCTGCAAAATGCACAAACGCACATTTATTAATATTATTGCGTAATTTTTTTTAATAAGGTAACGCTGGGTTAAATTGACAGGTGGGTAACATTGACATATGTTATATTAAATGTTTTTACCACCAGTTAACTATTAATTAAATTATTTTAACCGACACGACAGTAATCTGTTGAATGAACAAATATAGCTTTTTTTATCCACGTAATTAAAAACTTAAGCAACTACACTATACGGCGAACACAAATTAAACTAATTCTTAATTTGTTTTACTGTTAAAAAACTTTAGTTATAAGTTAAACAATACTATAATACAGTTTTAAATGTATTTTTATGATGTTATTTGTAAATGCTGAGCATTTAAATCGATTTCTTAGAATTTTTTGTTTAAAATGCGAAATTCGGTTTTGGGGTAACATTGACAGAATTGTCAAATGTTAGTATTGTTAAATGTCAAACTTTACTCATAATGTGTGATTATGTTCATTACGATTTAAGTGTAAATAAATAAATGATTGATTTGTTTTTTAGAGTTTATGATCACACGATATCATGCCTCGCAACTACAAAAAAAAAAAACAAGTTTAAAATCCGGATTGTATGACCGGGAAGCCATGAAGAAAGCCATTGAAGATGTGAGTGAAAAATGTTATTATTTTATTATTATCTATTTAAGTTATTATTTCTCAGTGTTTAAAAATTATGACCATATAAAGTTTAACACGTTAAAATAACGAAAAATAATGTCGTTATTTAGGTTGTATTAAAATTGGATTAGGTTGGTAATGGAAAGGATGGACAACGTTAAGATTTCCAACGTTAACCAACATTGTGATTTAAATGTTATAAAAACGTGTGTTTTGAATAAAAATTGGCATTTTCCGCGACTCAAACCTCGACCACTTGTATATTTATATTCACCACTGAGTATGTTTGTTTATGCGCGCGTGTATGTGTGTGCGTGTGTGTGATTACAAAAGTCATTGTTTATTAGCCTATGCTACTATTTCTTTGTTTTTTTATCAAAAAAAGTACGTGCTCAAAAGTCACTGAAGTCAAAAGCAGGTTACTAATAACATACATTTATACGATAAGATTAATCAGGTTTATTATTGCAGGTATTCTAATTATTATTTAAACTGGAACTAATATTCAATCCTTTGATAAATATTTATCAAAGGATTGAATATTAGTACCAGTCTAAATAATAATTATGATGATATCAAATAAGAATGCTTTTCAAAAAATTACGGCGATCAGAACTTGGGGAAAAAATTACCCATATAAATTTTCCCTTTTGAACCCCGTTAAAGGAAAATGCTATTTTTGTAACAAAATATACGCTATTTTTTAGTCGACCAAAGCTCTTTTATATATTTCAAATTTCATCAACAAAACTCTTGGTGTTTAGAAACGAGACCATTCAAAATTTACAGAAAAATTAATTTGAGGGTTCGATTTGTTAAATGGTCGTTACTCCAAAATGCTAACAAAAAAAAAGTTGAGAAAAATTTTTTTTTTATGAATTTTGATTTAGGATAGCACAAAATTTTTTTTTAATATTATTTTAGATGGGGTTAAAGAGGGCAAATAGATTGGGGTAATTTTGTAAAAATGGCGTAAAATTTTTAAAGTTTAAGTAAAATATTATTTACTTAAACTTAAAAAATCAATATTAGTTTACTGTTGTAATTTGAACATTACTAATTGATTTTAGGCGTAAATAAAAAAAAAGTGACATTAAAATATGATAATTACAATAAAATTTGGAAGATCTAATCTTTTTGTAATTTATTCCATAAACCAATTTTTATATGGTATCACACTTGAGCTTTTATTTTTACGTTTGAGGTTAACTCAAAACCATATCACCATATCATCATATGATAAGTTTTGAACTAACGTAATAATAAAAGTAAACAAGTTGCATCAGATTGAGGTAATTAAAGAAATTTAGCAGCTGTGGCGCAGTGGTAGCGCACTTGCCTCAGAAACGTAAGATCCGTGGTTCAAACCCTACCTCTGGGCAAGTTTTGCGACATCGGTTGGGAAGGAGGCGTGAACTTCCTAATAAATGCTCTTCCGCGGTGCTCTGTGATAAGACCGTAAGGACTTCTTAGGGCACCTTAATCAACTTAAAATTAAAAAAAAAAAAAAAAAAAGAATAATTTAGAAAAACTTTTTTTAATTCAACCCTTAAACCATTTTGATTTAAATAATCAGTAATTACGGTAGTTAGATTAATATTAAATGCAAATCAAAAACATTCACAACAAAAATATTTTGTTACAAGAAAATTGTCAGTATTAAAATTAAATAACAATTTAAAGAAATTAATAACAATTTCTAATAAAGCAAGAAGTCTCGAAGACTGTAATACTTCTGTATGTTTATTATGCATGAGAAAAGGTGACAGATTGGTGACAATTATGACTATATTATTGTACAATTTTAAAATTTGTAAAAAGTGACATAACATAACATGCAGTTCAACGTGTTATTTGCAACTTACGTCAAACTATTTTACAAAAAAAAAGACGCTGGTGATATTAGGTGTTCATTGCCACCTCTCTAAAATTTCTCTACGATAGTTATCAAGCCTTTGACACGAATATCAAATGCATGTGATAGTCTTATTTGCCAAATTGGAAAGCTTAAACTTAATGAAAAACATCTTTTAGGACCAAAGATTTCAAATTCAGATTCAATATCTCGAGACACAGGTGCTAAACGTCAGGTCATTTCTGTCATTGTTAAAAATCTACCTGAAACATACAAGAATGTCAAATCGTTGATGAATATTATTTAATTGCATGACGTGGCATTTTACATTTCATGTGATTTAAAAATGGCTAATATTATTTGTGGAGTTCAATTCCATTCGAGCAAGCATCTAAAAAAACCTTAAAAGAAAAAATCGATAATTTAAAATATTTAAAGTTCTATATATATATATATATATATATATATATATATATATATATATATATATATATATATATATATATATATATATATATATATATATATATATATATATATATATATATATATATATATATATATATATATATATATATATATATATATATATATATATATATATATATATATACTTGATTAGATTATATATATATATACTTGATTGACAGAGATTACAGCTACATCCATTTTGTCAAACTTGGAATTGATGGCGGAGGATCATTTTTGAAAATGAACTTGGCTGTTATTAAAATAACTAACAAGAGTAACAAGACAAACAGTTTCCAACAAATAAAACATCATATGCTAACAGATTCAATATCTCGAGACACAGGTGCTAAACGTCAGGTCATTTCTGTCATTGTTAAAAATCTACCTGAAACATACAAGAATGTCAAATCGTTGATGAATATTATTCAATTGAATGACGTGGCATTTTACATTTCATGTGATTTAAAAATGGCTAATATTATTTGTGGAGTTCAATTCCATTCGAGCAAGCATCTAAAAAAACCTTAAAAGAAAAAATCGTGCTATCCTAAAGTGCATTGAAATTCATTAAAAAAATTATGTTTTTTCAATAATTTTTCTTTGCATTTTGGAGTAACGAGTCTTCTGTCAGTCAGCCAAAATAAATTATTTTGGCAAAAGACCACTCGTCAGTTCTAAGTTTACGCGTTCGGTACTTATTATTTTAAATAATAAGTACTGAAACGAGTTGGCTTAGGACAAATAAATAAGGTAATAAATAAATAATGCTGATAATAAATAAGGAGACAAGAAATGTAAAGATAAACTTAAAACAAATCGGTTCGTTTTTTTAATTCTCGTTGTAGGCCAAATTTTTTTTTGTTTTTTGTAAACAATTTTCAGTTTTTTTTCTAAATTAACTAATTAAAGTACCTTGCATTTGTTTCTCGCTCATTTTTTATCTTATAAACTAAATAATGGAATCAATAAAATTTTAACTGCAGTTAACCAAGTTGGTTTCAGAATAATAATGCTATAAAAAAAGAAATTATATTCAAGTATGAAATTTAACTCATAACAATTAAATTCCAATATTCAGTTGATATAAGACTTAATATTAGAGCCGTTTTATTAGAACTGTATTAGCGTTGTTTAAATAAAAATATGCTATAAAATAGTTTTTAATTTGTAAATTGTAAATATTCTATATAATTAAATTTTTTAAACTGATCAAAAAATTTTTAAGTTAGTTAAACTTAACGTTGTTTATAATGTTAAAAATTTAATTTAAAGCATATAAAAATATTTTTTAAGTAACGAAACGCGTTCTGGACGTGCAAAAAAGTACCTGAACGACGTTTCGGTACGCTCCAGCGCCAGAACACCACTGGTTACGACAAGTACCATAGTATATCTATCATGATTTTAAAGTACAGATTACCATCTTTTAATGCAAGTATATTAAACTACAGACATGCTTTTCGTAATCAATTAATGGTTTGTACCTTAGTGTATAACTCCATACTTTCACCTTTTTTTAAAATTTAAAATAGTCTTTTTCTTTTAAAAACTTCAGAAAATGCTATAGATTGAATTAGCATAAAAAATTCTAAACTTATTTAAAATGTTATTTTCACAACAACCTGAACTTAAAGCGTGGTTTAACTTTAATGGAAAAGACGATTAAACGATTGACTTTTTTATTAAGTTGCCGAATATTTGTGATATCACTATATAAAATAATTTTGCTGCAACAGTAATTACTTTTATTACATGGGACGACTGAATAAGCGCGAATTTCATAAGCGCGAACTGGCATAAGTGCAAACTGGCATAAGTCCGAAGCGTTGTAAAAACTGGAACTGGCATATGTGCGAATTGGCATAAGTGCGCCAAAATATTTTTTTAAAACATTGGCATAAGTGCGATTTGGCATAAGTGCAAACTGGCATAAGTGCAAAGCAATTTCAAAAACTGGCACAAGTGCGAACCGCCATAAGTGCAA